CAAAAGGACATACACATGATGAAAAATCAATCACTCTGTAAGTAGTATTACATGATAAACAATTAGATGGAAGAGGACCATTACAAGTTTAACAAGTGTGATGGCATTCTTAGCAAGTAAGTGAAAATCCATCGTCAAAAGTTTGTGGAGAAGAACATATACATTCAAATGATGTTGTTAATGGGTTATTAGGTATTCTAGTTACAGGACATTCTGTGCAAGAATCTTTTAAAGGGCTTTTTGTACAATCTTAACAAGTATAAAAACATCCTATAAATCACATAATAAAAATATTATTACTTTTGCATTCAATATTATCATTTTCATCATCATAATATGATTTTTAGCATAAACATTCTCCATAAGTTGTTAAATCTCTGTTTGAGCTTAATAAACAATAAGTACAACCTGTGGGTTCAGGATTTTAACAATTTCCACAAGTGTAATGACAGGCTAAATTTAAATATATTAAATTACTGAAACATATATCATAAGTACCATTGTTATCTCCATAATTATATTGGCAATCACAAGTGAAATTATCTGTAACAATTCTATTTTCTCCGGGAATACAAGTTAGACAATATTAGTCCATAGTCTCATCAGTTGATTTAAAACAAGTTCGACATCTCGGATGACATTCTGAATTTAAAATTATTTTACTTCCACATATGAATTCTCTTATTTCAGAATCAGCATATCCAATTTTGCATGGACAAGATTTATCAATTGATATTCTATTTGAAATACTTTCATCTAAGCATTAAGTACATTCATGATTAGATGATCCTGAACAAGTTAAACAAGATTTATCACAAGCTTAAATTATGAATAATACAAATACCGAGACAAATTTAATCATCTTTTTAAGTATCATATGTTCCAGGTTGACACATGCATTCTTAATTAGCAAGAATTCTATTTGATCCTAATTTACATGAAGTACATAAAAAAAAATCAAACACTTCGCATTCATTACAATACCCCTCTTTACAAGGCTTGCATATATCATTATAAACACCAGTTGGTGGTAAACATAAACAAATACCATTAATTTCATCAAGTACTTTACCTTTAGATCCATCACAAGTTGTACAGAATCGTGGATTAGTATCCAAACATGTTTGACAATTTGGACTGCAGCTTATAAGTGAGCATGTGCCATCTGGTTATAATGCATACCAAGGCATACAGGCTAAACATTTGTTATCAGCTTCATTTAAATGGAAACAATTTTTTTTCATGTTTCGAGTAACTATTTAAATTACTTATTTTATTACAAACACATTATCCACTTTTGTTTAAACTAAATCCAATATCACATTATTCACATCTTATATTGTAACTATAGTATCCATCCCATAATAATTCAGAAGATTAAACATAATAATTAGAGAAGCAATTATAAGATATGTAACATAAAGTTTGAGAATGGATATTCTATTGTAACAAGAGATAACCACGATCACATGACTAACATCTTATCTATATTCTACCATAATAATCTAGTAGAGCAATACATGAACTGCAACCATTAGGGCATTCTAAAAGATATTTAAATAAAATATATTTACTATAGCACATTCCAGAGTATTTATACCATCCATATTCACAATATTTACCTACTTTTAACGAACTACCTTTCAAGTAACAAGTACTAAATCCCTTACAATCTATAAATTTCTATGTTATCATTTACCTAATTCACATCTTTAAAGCTATTCAGAATTAGCATGAGTGGGACGGCATATTGAACATAATTAATTCTCGGAACATTCTAAACAATATTAACCTCCACATACTAACATTTAAAATATTTTTACATCTGGGAGGAGAATGATATCTTTAATCATACCATTCATGACTTTAATGACAATATTAGCCATAGAAAGGAGGTCGACAAAATTAACATCCTTTTTTTCTTGGTGTTTTGTAATAAATCTAACATCTTCCATCCGAAGCAGCTATTATATATAATAAATATTCTTACGAACACATGAGTAAATGAAATTTTAGTCTAATGTTAAATCTATTTATAACATATAACCATTCTAACAAATCACAGTTGTACTATCGATTTACATTTTAGATGTTTTGAATCTGGGATGACATAAATGTTAATCTTTTAAATGAATTCTAACTTCTATTTTTGTTACTCCTATACAAACTTGAGAAATAGCTAAAATATATTACTAATAATTACACAGGCATTAGTGTGGATGGAAACCAGGTACATGTACATGATTTAAAGGACATTAATTATCTCCAGATCCAAAAATTGAGAGATAATCATTTTTATAATCTCTCCATCCCATAACTACTGAGATAATAATCAACCTTATTGACCATAAAAACATATTATAATTATTATCTAATAACTCAAATCTACAATACATTTAAATCTTAGTTAGCATTTAAAATGATTATTTGTGATAAATTAAATAAAAGTTTTATATTCTTGTTAAATTAATCTTTCTGACACAAATACATGAGTTGGATGCCATATCATAGTCTTCCAAGTTTAAGAAAATATCAATTTAAAAATAAGAACTTAATTAAATTTTATTTTTATATATAAATTAATTCATCTAATATACTTGAAATCAAGTCTGAGCTTTCGTATTAATATTTCATATTATTTGATTCAAATATTGAATTGTTACTTATCTTTCCATTCACGCCAAATTTAACAAATTACGACTCTATTTTCTATAACTGTAAATATATTAAAAAATGGAGAATTACAGATATCTAATAAATATTCATATCAAACTGAAAATTCAATTAATCAATTAACTTATATATTTTAGAAATAAAACTATCATGTTTGCTATATTTCCTGTCAAAAATCAAAATTTGAATTTCTCTTTTTATTCATATAAGTGTTTATTGGCGTTTATACCTTGAATTTATGCTGTTTATATCGATATTTTAACATGTAGATTGATATTTTATTGTTTTTAAATCAATAAGAAATTATTTATTTTATAAAATTTGTATAATGTTTATAAATTATTATAGTATTTCTTAATATATAAATTTATTAATACTATATTTTCAAATTCTTGTAAAGTCATCAAGGATATCTTACAAACTGCTATGCCGAACAAAAAATACATTAAATGAAATAAAGGCTTAAGATCCAGAATATTATTATACTGAGAAAGATTAGAATTACCTTGATACTTGATTAGATTTTTTTTTAAATATTTGTTGGACTTTAATTACTTTACTCAGTTTCAGATTTTTCTTGTTCGTTTTTCTATTTTTGATATAAATAAAAGTATTATGAAAATATCACCATATTTATTGCATTCACAAAATAACTCAACCGATTGTTCCTTAAACTTATTATTGTAAACATTTTTTAATTAAATTTAGTAATAATGTTGTGGGTACATTTGTAAAGCTGAGTCATTTAACTATTTTTAAACAATATTCTTCAATTCTTATGAAAATTTTAATGGATTAGTTTACAAATATGTTTATTCAATTAAATGAAGTCTATAAGATAATCTTCTTAATTGGTTCAATATTAAATTATAAATTGAATAGAGACTTGGTTCTTCTTTTAATCTACTGAATAATTTGATTTCCTTATATAATAAAGGTTTTTAGTTTACAATCAGATATAAAAATATAGGAAATCAAATTAGTAATCATCAATCTTTCTATCATAAATAAGATAACAAAGATAATAAAATTGAAATCTCTAAATTTTTTAATGATAATAAAAAAACATAAATCTAAATCATTTTTAAGGATTTACACATACATAAAAGTTAAATGCAAAAATCATAATCTAAAAAATCTAGAAATTCCAACCAAAGATAAAATGAAATCATTGAAAAATTGAATAAGACATAAAATGAGAATCTATAAGAATTACAGAGATTCTAATGGATCAAAAACCTATAGAATTACAGCCTCTCTACTGAGGAAATTTTGATATCCGTATTAAGTTGAACGACAAAAGTACGTTATCCCAATAAGCCCTACTCTAAACGCTCATGAATAAGATTCACCAGATATATGTAAACATAATAGGCTACAATCTACTATTCGAAATAGCTTACTTATACGATCAGGAAGCCAGGGAAATACTGCTAGCACCTCTAAATTGCATTCTAAAATGCCTGATTCCAAACTTAATATAATTAAAAACTATCTTGAATAAGCTCAAACTCATCGACCAATCACTGATTCTTATAAATTAAGCCATGAAATTGAAAAATAAAAAAAAATAAATTAGTTTAAGTTGAAAGAAATAAACTTCTATCCATTCTTAAAATTGCATATAGAGCTGAAAATAAAATAGATCGATTTAATTAGTATTTATAATAATAAGAAAAAATTTCATCTGGAATCGAGAGTTTCATTTTAAATGAATGTATTTATTCCATTTTATTTTAGTATCACCTAAAAATAATATTGAATCAATCTTATCTTTAGAATGAATTTTTCATATTTATTTATTTATGATCATGAGTACTATTTAATAATATATAATCATTTAACTTATAAAACAATATATTTTCATCCTGACAGATTTCATTATAATGTTAATATTTAACATATAAATAAATTTATAATTAATTAAATAATTCTCATATTTTATCTGTTGGTTTTTATAGTCAAACAAATTAACTTATTGTTTGTTTTGACTAATATTGTTTTAGATTATTATTCTGATGATTATAGTTCTAATATTTAAAGTATATCAAAATATAAAGTAGAATTTACTTATTTCATCCTTCATTTAGAAACTAAAATTATGATTAATGATTCTAAAATAATGATATGAATTCTTTTTCAATTTTATCAGACTTTCTGTTCTCAAACTATTTACAAAAATTCTGCCACAAATTTTTAAGTTTTTCTATAAAAACTTAAAACATTATAATATTTCCTAATAAACAAAGATACTATTATTCTGATTACATAGATAATCTAAAAAATAGTGTATAATAATATTTCAATAGATAAAAATGATAGACGAAACTACTAATTAATTGTTTTAGCAAAATCTATAAATAGGTTAAATAATTACACTTAATAAGAAAATTTTGAAATATTTCAATGAATTAATAACCTATAATACTAAATAAATCATCGGAAAATTTTTGTTCAGAATTTTTTTAATTTTGATGGGAAATTCCTTGCAATTGATTTAAAACAACTTTATAATTAAACCATATAACCATTGTAACAAAACTTAAATTAAATTAAAATATTATTTTATATTATCATATTCTAGTAAAATTATCAAATATATCTTCTAAACTGCTATGCATAATAAAAAAATGCATTAAATGAACATATGGATTGAGTTACTTTTAATCTATACTTGGTGCTGTAACTCTATATATCATAATTCTAACAATGATTATAAGTGTTTCGACAAATATTTATGAAAATAGAAGGCTGCCTAAAAAGATAATCGCAACTACATATTATTCTGATTTTGCAGATATACTAAATAATGTAATAGTAAATACTTAAATAGTTAAAAAATGAATAAAACTAAATTGGGTACTGCTAACAGCAAAATAAGGAGCAATTAACTAATGAAAGCTGCTATTCTTTTAAATCTATAGATCACTTTTATTATCTTATATAATATCCTCAAAATCAAAATTATGATAGGATTTGCAATTATGAATAAGATGATAAAAATAATAGAATTATTAACAATATAACATTCTACAATAGCTAAAGTTAAGAGTAAATTGAACTAGGAAAAAACCTCCAACATCCTATAACTAAGATTAATATACTTGTCCTAATAATAAAATATTGAAAGGCTTTGATGGATTAACTAATAATAATTATGTAAAATTACTTTTGCATGAGTTTTGAAAATTTAAAAGCATCCTTTATACATCATTGTATTTTTATCAATTTTACTCTTTGAAGTATTTGGAATACTTTCTTCTGTACTTAATCTTTCTTGCTTATTACGAAAATCTTTAAGCAAAAATAAAATATATATGGTCATAAATGTTAGAGTTTAAATGCTTGAAAAAATTGTAATAGCCAATAAATTTGTAGCTCCAAAAACAAGACCAAACATTTATTAATCTGCATTATTTAAAATTACTTTACTAAAATTTGAGGAAGTTATGATGAAAATTTCACCAAATTTATTACATTCACATCTTATATCAATGGTGTCATTATTTTATATTTTTATCAAATTACATAAAGAAAAATCCCCTGACTTAGTCTTCAACATACACTTTATTTCATATTCTTATTAATTTTATACATTATTAGAACACACTTAATATGATTGAAAAGTTGTACTATAAATGGCTATGAAGTTTTCTAATGAAATAAATCTGTTTTTTAAATAATTTTTTAACTAAATTAAGTAGTAATCTTGATTGTATATTTTTAAGGTTTGATCATTGAATTCTTTTTAAAGATTTTTTTCAAGTTCTAAAGTAAATCTATTTGGATTTGTTCTTAGTTAAATGCTATCGGATTAAACAAAATCAACTAAATAATCTTCTTGAGTTTATTCAATATTGAATTATTGATTAAATTATTATTTTGTTCTTCGTTTTATATAAAAAAAAATCTCTTTGCCTTTTAAGACTAAAGGACTTTGGTTAACAATAACTACATTTTATATTTCTTCTAAAATGAGGTTAATGTCTTTCAACAATTTTACTATATTTTTATAAATGGTTTCATTTTTTGTGTTTACTTTTGAGAAATCTGAATATATATCATCAATATAATATAATAGCGTTAATAAACCATCTTGGGAAGTTTAATATTGTTGAAAAATTTCCTCATTCCACATGAATTAATCTAAATTAAGCTCTTCTAAACATTTTCTTTTCATTTCACTAAAATATATAAATGCTATATCTAATTTATCAGTCTCTTATTGTAAATTTTCTATTTTTTTTGTCAAATTAACAACAGTATCAGTTGAATTTGATGTAATAAATAAATGATTCGACTTTAAATCAAAACATTTTATTTAAGTTTCTTCACTCAATAATCGATTTTAAGATTAGTTAAATGGTTATTAATATAAAAATTGTTTATATAATTTTATGGCTTAAAATTTTAAAGTATTTTCATTCGTATTGGGAAAAATTTATTAGTAATGCAAATCAAGATAAATTAAATAATGCAATTAATCACATTTTTGATTCATCGATTCAAAAAGCAATGATATCTTGTTTTATAAGGTCAAGTTCTAAAATTATATTTAAGAACAATCAAGTTTTGCAGGTTTTACAGTAACTTTATCAAAAATATGACTCATTGATCCACCATTATCAAGCACTGATACTAAAATTCCAACAATTGATTGATCAATAGAAGTGGGTATTTAAATTTGAAATTAATTTTGACTCTAAAATGAATAGAATACTAAGGAATTATCTGATTCTCCTTTTAAAAATTCTGTCAAATCAAATTCTCTCAAAAATAATCTAAGTTAATATTTATAAGGAAAGTCATTTGATTGTTCACAAATTGTAGCAACTTAAATATTAGTTAGAGCTAAATCGTTAGACCGAATAATAAATAATTTTGAACAAATAGGAGGCTAATTGATATTTAGTTTGATGTTATTTATACTAGGCATTATATTATTTGTATATTAAGCACTAAACTTAAGGTTTATGGTATCACCAAAATTCAATTCTTTAATACTATTAAATATTTTTAAACTGTGCGAAGTATATTATGGTTGTAGTATTTCTATTATTTCATAGTTATATATAATTGCTATTGATAGATCTAATAAATAACGTTTTTAAGTAAGGGGTATGAGAAATGTAAAATTGAGTTATTCAAAATTATTTACCTTTCTCATATAATAACCTTGATTATATTCAAGTTCTAATGAAGGAAAATTATCTTCAAGATAAACAATAATTAGATTAAATTTAGATGATTGACTAAATTTTGTAACATTAACTGTCCATTCCTATACTGTAAAAGTTGATATAGAATTTTTCTTGATAAATTAAATAAAATCAGTTGAATTAACTTGAATTGTTTATTTTTATTAATTTTTACATGTATTATTTAATGATAGGTCTTTACAAGAAACTTATATATATAAATCTGGATCATTGTTCCAATCATATCTTGTGTCCAAATCTTTGCATTTTATTTATAGATTTAGATCTTATCTTATACTTTAAATTCCTCTATTATTAAATTAACAGATTAATCCAGCAAATGGAATATGAATCTTAAATTATTATATTTAAGACTTGCTGGTCATTAGATTTGTTGAATTGACTTAAAATGTATAAGTTGTATTTGGACTTAAAGTATATTTTGAAATATTAGTAAAGATAGTCTCAAAAGGATTAGATTGAATTGAAATATTTATATGTGAAGAAGTTGTTTTTTTTGGTTATCTATCTTTTTCAAATATTTAAATTTAGTATCTAGAATTATCTTGTAGATTTGACTGATTAAGAGTTCCAACAGATAAACTAACTGATATTTATTCAAAAACGAAATAATATGGTTTCAAATTTATATTGATTTATGGATATTCTCCTGAATGAGTTAATAAAGTGAATTCTGAAAAGGATTTAATAGGAATGAAATTCTAATATTATATCTTAAATTTTATTAAACTATTAGGAGGTAAAGTAAACTTTGGTATGAATAAATTATAATCCTATATTAAATTATTTTAATCTAAGAATTAGTTTAAGGTTTCTCTTTTTTCATTGTCTTCTGCTTCATAACTCCACAATATATTCTATAATTTTCTATTCCCATTATTAGAAATTTAATATACATGCACTAAGCTTTCTGCATATGGATTTAGTAAATGAGGAGGTACATTGTATTAAATTTATGGTGGAATTGGATTAATTGGCATTTATAAGGTTGTGAAAAAAAACTTTTGTAAAGTAGTACCACAATTTATATGAGACAATGAATTACTTTAAAAAAGTATTTCATCACCAACATTTATTGATGAGTTTTCCCCCAAAGTAATGAATAATTCCTAAAAGTCATCTGGGTTTAGGTAACAAACAGCATTATTACCAAAACTTTTTGCAGTTTCTAACTCAAACAATTACAAACATTTATTGATTTGGATTTATGAATTAAATCCTTTTGGATTTAAAGGAAAATCAAAACGAATGATAATTTTGCTAATGTCATCTGATAAATATGTTTTAACAACTGCAATTTGACAAGCTATTAGTATAATTAAACAATATACTTGAACACCAAGGTGTATGATCATACCAAACTGAATTTGGTGGAGGAATACAATCCATTTCTTCATTTAATATTCTATTCGCATTACAAGATAAACATCCATCTATATTACATTCTAAACAAACACTATTGCATTTTTAGCAATTTTCATTTAATAGATCATCAAAATATCCTGGTTAACAAATACATTAAGGTTCTGAGATTCTATCACCTTTACAAGTTTTACAGTTTTATTGACTTGAATCACAACTGGCACATTA